TTACATACCAAAATCCTGTCTCAAAAAACAAAACAAAGCAAACCCCCTGTTATGGCTGATACATTGTGTCAACTTGAGGAGTCTAGAGGTTTGGCTAAGTGACTCAGCAGTTCTACATCCTGGGGTGCAAAGGACATGCCCTTCCTGCTCTAGCACGTTATTCATTGTGTCAATGTGAGAAGTTTAGAGGGTTAACTATGTGAGTGCAGCCCCCTGGGTGGGGGTAGCCTTCTTACAATGTAAGGGAGAGAAAGAGGCTGCTTGCTGCCATTCCCCCCTTTGCTCTTGTTGCTTTGTTATCTTCTGCCTCGGAGCCAACCAAGTATGGACTGAAACCTCCACAAACTGTGAGCCAAATAAACCTTTCCTTCCTTAATTTTGGGCTTTGGGTGTTTTGTCTCAGCAACGAGAGAAAAGTGACTAAGACACCCCTCAAAAACAAAAATTTAAAAAGTCTGTTATGACTGCAACACAGAAGATGCGGCAGGAAGATGGGCTGGAGAGGCCAGCGGCAGCGGGCTTGTGAAGGAGACACGGGAGCAGGGCCCATGTCGTGGGCATGTGACCCGGGCAGCTGACAAGGTCCTTGCACTTGGTCTGGTGCTCTGTCACTATCTTGAAATTCTTCACAATTTTTTAAAGAAAAGGCCCTGTATTTTCATCTCACACTGACCCTCAGAAATCACATACCTGGGGACTGGGAGTGTAGCTCAGCCGCAAAGTACTTGCCTAGAATGTGAAAGGCTCTGTGCTTGATTCCCAGCACCATAAAAACCAAAATAATCATGTAGTTGGTCCTTCAGAGGAGAGGTCACTCACAAAAGGAAGATGGATTCTGTTTTGTTCTTTTAGTTTGTGGGATTTTTTTGTTTGTTTGGGGTTTTTTTTTTGTTTTTGTTTTGTACTGGGAATCGAACTCAGGATCTTGCATTTGCCAGACAGGTGCTTGTGCCACTGAGCTTTCTCCTTGGCCCTGATGGACTCTGTTTTGCTCACATTAATGTTAAAGGATGGGAGGGGCTGGGGATTTAGCTCAGCGGCAAAAGCGCCTGCCTGGCAAGCGCAAGGTCGTGAGTTC